AAAAAGAAAACCAAAAATCTGATTAACCCTTTTGGATCACCTATAAAAGGGCATGAAGTGCCTTGAGGAAGGAAGATTTTTCAGCCCAAAAATCTCCACCAAAAGCTCTCCTCCTTGCTTTCAATTTCAGCTAGCATTTCAATTCTAATATTAAAAAATAGTTCTACTGCTTCATTGAGTTGAAGGAAGTCTCGAGTGATTCATTGAATTTTCTATAGCTTTTATGGATTTCTGGCTTGTTTTTTTAAGTCTGAAGTAGTAGATCTTCATTGATAAGCTGAAATGAATTGAATTTGGATTAAAATCTCGATTCCAAGTCTGTGGGTTTGTTGTTCGAATAAACTCTTTCTTCTGAGTTCACTGGGTACTGATTCTGGGCTTGAGGCTGTGATGTAACTGACAATTTTGTCAATTGATGACTGTTTTTGTTGCTGTTGACTGACTCTCTCTTACTCCTATTCTGCTCACATCCAGGTACGCTTTCGAATTGTGATGGAGTTGAAGTTTACTTGAATATGGAAGAACTTGTGAATATGAGTCAAATTGGAATAAACAAATCAGTTTTTTTTACCACTGTATAGTTTCTTTTATATTATTGATGTTTGAATCAGTTTGTTATGAGGGTAAAACTATCATGTTTAGTTGCTAAGTATGGGATATTCATTTCGTTTCAGTAGGCCTGTGACACTTATGGGGACTGTTAATTGATTTGTGTTCCTCCATGTTCATTTCAACTAGATTTAAGCCCAATAGATGTTTGGATTGTTGATTAATTTATTGAGTTGATAATCATAGTTGAGATTGCTAATTGTTGTTGGGAAGTGTTACTGAAATCATGCACGTCAATACATTCAGTGGCGTGTTTGTAAGCTGGTGGTATCCTTGCCCAGGTTCGATCCTGGGTCCTTGTCCAGTCTGCAAGGAGTCTCGAATTGGGCCTCCCTTTGATGGCCCAGCTTATGAGAAATCCCTTCAATAGGCCCTTGGGCATCACTCAAGGCCCCATTAAATGTTAGAATTAGTGAATCAGTGTTCCTTGCGATATGTGGGCATCAGAATCCGATTGCGTCCAATTAAAATGTAAGAACATTCTTAATTTACTAATTAACTAGATCTATTGATTATTGGATACGAGCATAGTAGATAACAGATAGTTTCTTTGTTTAAATACCCTTAAATAACAAAATGAGACGAGCCTCACCGAGCAAAAATAAATAAATGTGGGGCCCTCAATAATTGGTTGATTAAAAATATGTTAGACTTCGGGATGAGCCGTTTAGTAAATTTCGCAGCTTTCCCTAAAGATAACAACGCGTTAGACCCTTTAGGAGCGTTTTAAATAAAATTACTTTCTTAAACTCGGGTGCGCATTGATGCGACCCAAGTCCAAATCTCAATGGAGTTGGAATGTGTCAATAACCACGGGTGCATTGATGTGACGTGGTTCGAGACACATTTTCACGACGTTGCAACTCTCGTTAAAAATAATGATAAAAGCAGTTTATAAATAAAAAGCACACAGGCTAGCATGTATCAAAATCAGATAAAATTAAATACAACAGTTAAGCGACCGTGCTAGAACCACGGAACCCGGGAATGTCTAACACCTTCTCCCGGGTTAACAGAATTCCTTACCCGGATCTCTGGTTCGCGGACTGTTAACAGAGTCATATTTTTCCTCGGTTCGGGATTCAACCGGTGACTTGGGACACCATTAATATCCCAAGTGGCGACTCTGAATCATTAATAATTAAATCCCGTTCCGATTGTCCTTTAATTGGGAAAACTCCTTTACGTCCTTTGCGGGGTGTAGGGAAAAAGGAGGTGTGATAATGCATCTCTCTTTATGCTATTAAATCTGGCCATAATCACTGCCAACACTTCTACTCAGCTATGTTTTTATATTCATATTATTCATTTCGGATTTAGAATTAATTATCCTTAACTAGGATTTACCCTCATCATGATCATTAATTGATTTAATCAAAAAGGTTTTGACATCTATTGGTCAAACAGTTTTCGAAATATTTTCTAATCAAGTACACAAAGATTTAGAGGTTTTTTTCAAAATAAAATCCAAGCACACCATAGGTCTAGTGGCTTTTTTTAGATGGAATAAATCGATGATATTCTTGTCAAGTTAGCAGTGAAAATACCACATAAATCATTCTACATTAATAGGATCATCTACTGAATTGTTGGTCATTAGCAATTTGAGAATCAGTTTGATTGGTTTCCAGAATCAGAAAGAGATTATTCATATTATTTTCTTGTAACTAAAATTTTAGACTTTTATCATTCTCCTATTAATAATATACTGGTCGTTTGCTTGAACAGAAATCTTTTCCTTTAAACATATTTGTTAGTCAGTGGTTGCATAGATTAGACGCTTAACGCTAGTCATTTATTAGGTTGCAACAGTCAAGGGCTTCGTTCCAATTTATATTTTCTGTCAAATTAATTTCCCTAAGGACCATTAGACTTCCTTTTAAAGGATAGTCTCGAGGTGGAATAGTAAGAACAATAAATGATAAAATACCTCTGATAAACAGTAAGTGAAATAGCAGGAAAATAACGGGTGTATATATTCTTTTTATTGAACAACGATGATTACAAATGAATGAGATCCCTCTTTATATAATATAGGAGTCCAAAATAAGGTACACTTCTAATTATCGTAGGAAACCATATTTACATCTGATTAACTGCCGTTGATTGATCCGTTCCGAGATTCACGTCATGATCCTCGACCAATCGCGGATATCTCGCTTTTTCCGTTATCAAGCTATATCGATGTCACTCGGAGTCTGTCTCTTTCTGGCCGCAATTGACGTCGACCTCGGTCCGAAAAGAGGCTACGCTTCCGGACTCGACGTCCTAGCTCCTTGACGCGGCATTCCTATCTCGACCAAAGAATGAAATCGGGTAGCCCCGATTTCTACCGTATACAGATAGTCCCCTCGTTTTTCATAGTAAAATGATAAGAAACGACTTGAGCCTCGATTTTCTGGAGACCCCAATAATGATATCATCCCCATGACGTAAGAGATTGAGGTGACCAAAACGTTCAGTCGGGACAGTTCCCCAAACCATTAATGCTTGCCAGTGGACGGTCGACCACTAGCACCACCGAACTGTCGCCGTAAATCTATAAATATAGGCTCTTTGGTTGAATCAAAATTTTACTTTTACCTCCACCAAGTTTTCTAAGTTTCTTATTCTCTCCATCTTTGCTCTTTCACCGCCCGTTGAGTCAACTTTGTTAGTACCAAAAATACCAATTTTCACCTCTTTCCACTTCCTTTTACTTGAATTAATGGCAAAACCCTCCAAAACAATCCCACAAAAGGACAAAGCCTCTTCATCGCGGTCGGCCGGTGATAAAACGCCGGTGAAGCCACGCATCGAAGAGTGCATTCCTGGGTCATGTGACCTTTCTTCTAATTTCAAATTTGAAACCCTCTTCGATCCCTGGCCGATGTGAGCCTCTGTCGAGGTATATATGCTCGATAACCGAAGACGATCTCGAGCAGGTGAAAAAGGAATGCCACTAGTAAAATGCAGAGGTGGTGATTCCTACCCCCGATGAGGATATTACTACTTAAGTGGAAGGGTTTTTAAGTGTTTACACTTACCTTTTCACGCTGGGTCCCATCGATCCCGTTATTATCGACTTGTGCTGCCATTATCGAATAACTCTTGGCCAGATACACCCCTCCTTTTAGCGCATTGTTATCTTGCTCCGATTCTTCGTGAGTAAGGTCTAAGGGATTCCATTTACCCTCGACCACCTCAACAACTGTCTTCATTTAACCGGCGGCGACGGCCCACATGGCGGCGGCCTGGATATCGGTCGATTGGAGATGGAGTTTGGGGTTGAGGAACTTGAAGAGTCTGTTACCTTTTTTCATTGTATTTCAATGTATCTCGCTGTATTTCGTGTATTTCATTGTATTCACTGCCTTTTTTTTATTGTATTTCAATGTATCTCTGCATTCCATATATTTCATTGTATTCACTATCTCATTGTGTTCCATGAATATATTCATATGTTTTTTTAATTAATATAATTTATGTGTTCATATGTATCTGCAGTATGTATTCATACGTTTTTGCACTATAGATGACCTGCTATACTTCATGTATTCAATGTATTTTTATGTATTTAACTGTATTCAATGTAGTTATATAATTTCAATATACAAATCTATTTATTAAGATACCACTAAAAAATAGTTTAGTAAAGATACCACTAAAAAAAGAAAGGATGGATTGAATCTCTGCAGATTGCTCTGTTTTTGGAGTATTTTTCGGTTGAGAATCTTTTCTATAACTGAAAATATAAAATTTGTGTGTGATAATTGGGTTTGTTAAGTTATATTAGGAGTCCATCGCGTTACTTGATTCACTTACCATTTTTAAACAGCTGAAGACCTTTTTTTCCGCAAATTCCGTTATTGTATTCACGAATACAACTCGCGAATACAGTCGAATGCATTCTCTGGTTAGCTGGACACCCCTTATTTTTCGCGAGTTTTGCTACTGTATTCATGAATACTATAGCAAAAATACACATGAATATAGTAGCAAAAATACATCGAATATAGTCTATAACAATTGAAAAACATAGTTATAAAAAGTAATTTAGTAAATGGTAGCTAAAGCAAACTAATAATACTAAACATGTAATTTATGAAAATTTCTCTATTTTTTTTCCTATTTTTCGACCGAATTTTTGAAGTCCAAATACGTACAAAATCTGCGGGGAAAATAAATACACTAGTAATAGTTGTACATACATTTGAAAGTGTAAGAAACCACTGCGGAAAAGTACGATGATATGGTCGTACGCTGCGCTGCCTAAAGGATTGTGTAATTGGATGACAAGAGGGCCCGGTCGTGGGCCCGGGCCACAACGAGGTAAGTTTGAAAATAGAGAGCGCATAAAACAGTGACTACTAATGAGAAAAACAAAACAAAAACATAGTCCAAACGTAAAACAGTGACTTAACCCTGCCATCATAATCTCCTTTTGCACGACATTCGCCCACTCTCCTTCTCTCTCCTTTCAGTTTCAATTTCAACTAAAAGGAAAATGAAGTACTAATATTTGCAAAAAGCATTCCCATTTCGAATCTTCTTCTTATCTGCCCTCAACTAAAGCTTAAACTTTCGGTTCTGAAATTGCTTCGATTCGAAGGAAGTTTAGTTTTCTGTTTGTAACGGAAATGGAGAAGCTTTATTTTTCTTGAGCTGTGAGTGAAACACAGAAATAGTCAGATAAAGTGATAGCTGAGTGTAGTTCACGGCTCTCTTCTTTTGTGCTATGGGGTTTAAAAATTGCTTCTGATCGACGCGCTTATTTTTTGAATTGACATCCGTTATTTGATAGTTTCTGCTAAGAAAGGGAAAGTTGAGTTTGGTTTTTTCGAAGACTATGGCTTTTTCATCCATATTTTGCTGCGTCAAGGGTTCAGATCGGTATGTGCTTAAATTCGTTCAAAGCTATTTCCTTTATTACTGCCCTAAATTTCTTAAATTCCGCCCGGTATTGTTCTAATTAAGGTTTATTTTAAGCTATTTTTACAATTTTTTTCTACTAGAATACTCTAAGTAGACACAAAGTGCATTTGTTGAAAAGAATAAATTGAACTGAAAGCCACTACTTTGTATTTGAATATCTTGCTGTAGCCTTCTGATTGTGTTAATTTAAAAAATGCTGCCAATCGAAGTGCAGGACCTCTATTATTTTCCCCCTTTTTGCATGTGAATTGATATTCTATTTGAAATCTTATTCTTCTTTTATTTTCCCCTTTTTTTAATGAATTGATTTTCTGTTTGAAATTATACAGGAAGGGGCAAGCGAAGAAGCAGCCGACGTGGAGGGTTTTTTCTCTAAAGGAGTTGCACTCTGCTACGAATAATTTTAACTATGATAACAAGCTTGGAGAAGGTGGATTTGGAAGTGTTTATTGGGGCCAGCTCTGGGATGGATCTCAGGTAATTTATGTGGTTTTCCTTTTCCTTTAAAGTTAGCTCATCAAAATTTCATCTGCTATGGTTGTGAATGTCAGCCCCCTTATTGATCGAAAAAACAACAGTCTATGTCGTCTCTTTGTTAACTGATTGGAGCAATTATATGAAACATTGTGTAGAGTTGCTGGAACACTATTGGTACACCTGAGTCTATTCCTATAGCGTTGACTTAAAGACCACAATTTATTGCCATAGAAAAGAGTTGGATCATGGCCATTCACTAGGATTTTGGGATCTCAGAGGAACCTTTCTAAAGTAGTTTGTCGTGAGTTTGTGATTGTATTTATGATGTTAATGATATAACATGTCCCAAGTCCTAGCTGGTAGAGCGATGAATCTTGAAGATAATTCGGATTTTCTTTATGAGGTTGCTTGGGTGCTTAAGTCTGGAATTTTTTTTAATGGTGTTTCAGTAGAAAGCTACTCCCTCCGTTTCAATCTATGTGAACCCATTTGACTGGGCACGGAGTTTAAGAACAGAGAGAAGACTTCTAAATTTGTGGTGTAAAATGAGGCACATATATTTTGTGTGGCTATAAATCATTGTATAAAGGTAAATTGTTTTTAAATAGTAAAAGGGGTCATTTTTGTTTGGCACGGACTAAAAAGGAAATAGGTTCACATAAATTGAAACGGAGAGAGTATAATTTTTGCATAGTTAGGTCTAATCCAGCAACCAACTCTTTTGAAATGTGGCACATCTCAGCCTTAATGGACGAGCATTATCGAAGTTACTAACAATTTTGATTTTGTCAATGCTTGCACTATGCTTTATTGGGTAGAGGATAAATTAAAGAGAGGAGATAACCATGAGTCTTGTATTCTCTTAGGAAAGGGACTCAGCTTTTTGAGCCCCTATTGAAAGGAAAAAAAAGCTTAGGTTTTTTTAGCCCATCCCAGATGGACAGAAAGAAGCGACTAGACAGGAATTTACATTCTTCACTTGGGCAAATCTACTAAATAAATTCCCCTCGCCCCTTCACAAAACCAAATCTAAGGTGAAGGACCTATGACTATGGAGAAACATCTATTTGATATATCACCAGCAAGCACCATATGATGTTACCATTCTTCTCTCAAATGTATGTTTGCTACTGAGTCACAATTAAGGTCACAACAATAGCAAAGAGGAAACAAGAGTTGCTTCACAGTTTATTCTTAAATGAGAGTGGCATTGTAGTCAAAAGTTCATCTTTTCGGGAAAATTGGTCATTTCTTTTCCTCTTTTCTTATCCCCCTCCCCCTCTCTCTTTTTATGTTTATTTGACCCACTTTTACGATTTCCAAATCATAAACGATACATCAAGCAAAGGAAACTTTGGATTTCTTGTCCATCATCTAATGCAATGCTAAAAAACGGCATGCATGCATTAGGCCTGGTATTTGAACGACAAAGATGAAATTCAGATATGGCTAAATGGGTCTAGAGACATTCCTAGACTGTCTGATCTAAAATTCGTACGCACTATGGTGATTTTACTGGGTTCGATATTCTTCAGTTAGAAACTTAATCTAAAACACTTGAAACCAACTCAGAATTTGTATTTCAATAATTGGTGCTTAAGAGTACATGAGCACGGCCTCCATCAGAGGATTCAAATCACATCTTCGTTGGAGGCTGCAGGTAAGCCACTATCCTGACCTTTCGTTACATTGTGAAAGTTATATGAAGAATCTCTTCTTTATGTCCTTTTTCACTTAATTCAACCCAAGAAAAGGATCTCTTCTTTGTTTGATTCACTGGTCATCTCTCATTAGATAGGGAAAACCAATATCAAGGTTGTTTAAGGAGATAATAAAATACAACTGTGTCTTTGAAATGTAGGTCCTTTTTCTCTGATCCAACTAATCTGGGTTTGAGCGGTGGGTAATTGATTGATAGTTTGGTCTTAATGGAAAATTAGTTTGGAACTAGATGTTGAATTCATCCGAAGGTAGGTTTTGTTTGTCTGAAATGTGCATTACCATGGTTCGCATCCCATAGTGGCGACATTACGTGAATTCTCCACATTTGTCTAATGCATAGAGAGTAGAGTTACCACATACCTCAGCTGGGTGGGAAGTAGTAGGTAACTGTGGATTATTTCAAAGTGTCGGACGCTACCTTTATTTGGGGG